ATTTCTGTGTGCGACAGTGCGGAGCGACATCACGGAAGGCGGACGTGAAATTGAGGAGGAGTAGCCTATATCGCTAAATGAGGAGCTCGAGCTGTAACTGGTTTGGTTAGGGCTGTACAGTGCACAAAAAATCTGTCTGAATATATGTACTACAGTAGCACGTGTGCAATACAGTTTTGCATGTGTAAGCCTGTTTACAAAACTGTTGTCCAACAAAGATATAATTTATTGACATGCTTTTTCTCCAAATTAACTTAACATATTCGAGTGTTTGAAATACTTATTTTTGTGACCAGACGTGGTTTGTCTATGATAGTATTATATACAGTGATAAAGGCCATGTCAATTAACATTGCATTATAAAAATACTTTCCTTATAAAAATACCCAAGATTGAAGAACACAGATAAACCATATATTTTGTGCAGTCGTATGCTTATTTTCCTCAAGTTTCATCAGTTAAAATGTCTCTACCTCCGTTGTGCGTTTTATTCAGCGATAACTGGATCCCTTCCTGGAGCATCGTCAGTAGTATTTCTTCTGCTATGGATATGTGGAGTTTCTGTGCAAGTGCGCCTTCCGGCTTCCAGTATGAATTAAACAGTCTTTACATTACGAGTGAACTCATTAATGCTCACCCTGTTTTGGAGTCTGTCCTCGCTGCAGCCTGCAGCACGATGACGTAGCTGGACTATATCCACTACGTAGTGGATATTTTACGCGCATGCGCTGTAGTAGGTCTCGAATAAATACATTTTATCATTTTGCAGACGCTTTTATCCACAGCGACTTAGTCTAACGACTTGGTCTAAGTGAAGTCTAACGCAGTACATGTAGCAAGGGTTTTTGACCTACATTACATATCTACACGATGACCTACATTACATATCTACACGATGACCTACATTACATATCTACACGATGACCTACATTACATATCTACACGATGACCTACATTACATATCTACACGATGACCTACATTACATTACAATGTAAAAACTTTAATGTCTAAATTCATCCGCGATGTTTTTGTCTATACCGGCAACTTCAAAGCTTTATTTTATTTATTTATTTTTATTTTTTTGAATAGCCTGCATTTCACATGTTATCGCCAGGATGCACAGTGCTGTATCCATTATTATAAGGATACAACCAGATTGATATGCAGACGTTGCACTGTAAATTGCTAATTATTACGATATACATCACTCTTTCAGAGTTAGCCTACATGTCTTTTTGATTGTATCCGTCATGTTTATTTAAATTTAATTGGGGATATTAGATTAATTTTGTTTATTTAGATTTTATATTAGGCTATTCTAATATAGCCTAGCTATTACAAACATTTTCAATAATAATAAAATAATAAAAAAACAACCATTAAATTTATATTAGACTGTCACATTTCTTGCGTAGTCTCCCTTGACAACCACGGGGGCTGCGGCGGTGGCGTATTTTTGGTGAATAGCGTCCGCACAAATCTCGCGATATTTCATGTAAACCACACTGGGGGGATAAAAATCATATATTTTTTAATGATTCAAATGCGGGATGGGGATGAGTTTTTTGGCATTATATAGCGGACAGTACATCTGCTTGTTGCTGTTTGCCAACAAGTTTCGGAAGGTTTGACAGCTTTATTTTTACGTTCACAAAATAATTACAAAACAAGAAACAAGGCATTGACAAAGAATAATGTTTCAGTAAATAGGCTACTTAAATATTAGGCTACATTAATATTTTACTACATTACTGTCTCTTTTTCTTTTATATCTAATAATATGTGACCCTGGAGCACAAAACCAGTCATAAGTAGCACAGGTATATTTGTAGCAATAGCCAACAATAGCCTACATTATATGGGTCAAAATCGATAATTATCGATTTTTCTTTTATGCCAAAAATCATTAGGATATTAAGGAAAGATCATGTTCCATGAAGATATTTTGTAAATTTCCTACCGTAAATATATCAATTTTTTGATTAGTAATATGCATAGCTAAGGACTTCATTTGGACAACTTTAAAGGCTATTTTCTCAATATATTGATTTTTTGCACCCTCAGATTCCAGATTTTCAAATAGTTGTATCTCAGCCAAGAGAGAAACAATGCTGCCACCTGCTGGCTAAAGGATATAGCAAAATAACATCTTGTTAACAGTTACAAATCCATTCCATTACTTATTGCATGACAACAATTGTAGTTAGTTAGTAACATAATCTGGATTACACATATTTAGTAATGTAGTTTTTGATTACTTTTAGATTACTTTTTGACCTAGCTCATTTATCAAATAAAGTTAAATGGGATTCTTGTGTACCATATTCTGTAAAGAGAGCGAGAGAGAGAGGGAGAGAGCAGGGTTTCCCAAATTAGGGTTCGTGAAAAAAACAGTAGGGTGTTGATGAAAATCTAATATAAAAATGTCAAATTTCAATGATAAGTAATATAAAAATGTCAAATTGTAAAAATTAAAAATTTGAAAAAAATTGACCAACATTGTACATGATTACTAGAAGGTAGGTTCATTTAGAAAGGAAAAGTTAAAAGAAAAAGAAAAACTGAATAATTTACTGCCACTGCGTGAATAATACGAAATCATGTAATCCATAAAAAAGTAACTGTAATCTGATTATGAGCATTTTGAAACGTAATATAATCTAATTACAAGTAGGCCTACTTCATTTTTGGAATCTTAATTGTGTAATCCAGATTACATTGCAATTACTACCTGTTTGTTAATATATTAATATTAAATAAAATTAATATATTAATTTTCATATATGAAAAACTATAACACTATAGTTCTATCAAATTAAATAAATATTGTCAATTCTAGTAGGCTACATACAAATGTACATTTAATGCCTGCCAACATCAGTTAATGTTGCACTGTGGCGTAGTGTCACATAATGGTTAATTTTGAACAAACCCCTTTTTAAGTAATAAACATAGGATACTATATGAGTGCTTAGTGCAAAATATTACAAAATCACACAAAATGAAAGCAAAAGTTAATAAGAATTCCCTTAAGTTCAATTATGCATTGCTAAGTCCTTTGCAAGTATTTCACATTAAAAATGGACCAGTTAAGTCTTTTTGGCTTATAGCTTTATGACAGCTTTCAAAGATCATTGAAGTTGTCGGTAAGAGGTACTTTATATTAACTTGTTACATGTTTCCATTTTTGTTTATATTATATCCTGGAAAAGATTTAACACAAGAGGCTAAACAAGTTCATTTATTGCTTTAGGTACAAGATCCACATCATATATACAAACCTAAATCATACAGAAAAAATAAGGCACCGGTGAATAATTCATGCATATAAAAAAAAAAAGATTCTCTGTTGATCCCAGCTTCTCC